TTGGCTGAACACAGAGCGGAGGGACCGAGCTGTTGTACCCGCAGCATCGAAAAACAAGGCGGGGGGGGTAAGCAGAGGGCTTAACAAAAGAAGTACCCACTGGAGCGGGGTGAAAGGAGCGATCGCAACCTGGGATCTCCTCCAACCACCGCCTCCAGCAGCGGGACCCGGAGCCCCACGGGCCCCTCCGCACCCCATACCGCGGGCAGCGCAGCGCATCACTCACCTCCGTCCGCAGCCGCGGGCTCGCCGCGATGCCGGGGCAGGGCAGGGCCGGGCCGGGTCCGCGATGCCGATGCCCGCCCAGCAGCGCCGCGCACTGGTCCCGGTCCCCGCAGTCTTCACCCGGCTCCACCGCCGTGAGCCGCCTCCTCTTCCTCCTCTGCCACCGCCTTTTAACGCCGCTCCGCCGCTGCCGACCGCAAGCCCGGCCCGCCGGCCCCCGGGGAAGGAAAGGAGGGGAGGGCTGACCGGTAACCCCCGCCGCTGTGCCTCGGAGCGGTGCCGAGCTCCGGCCGCTGCCCGGTCCCGGTGCCGCTGCCGCCCCGGCGGGCTGCGGGCGGCGCTGCGGCCGCGCTATAAACCCTGCCCCGTGCGCGGCCCCCGCCCGCGCCGGCGCTGGGGAACGGCTTCGGTACGGCAGCGCCGGGCCCGGCCCCCAGCGGAAGGGCGGCTGGGACCGGGGGTGTGGGGGGGACAATGCCCGGTGCGTGCTCTCACTGTGCTGCTCCTTATGGGAGCGGGCAGGAGCTGCGGGTGCAGCCGGGATTGCCCTGCCCGCCTTCAGGGAGCCTTTGGCTCACAGGGGGAGGCAGTTCCCGGTATAAGAAGCCCCGGAGTAGGGGCTGCGGGAATCCGGCCCTGCCAGGGTTGGCAGCACCATCACTCACCCTCCCCTCCGGAACCGGGCGGATCTCGGAACAGAAACTGCCAGAAAGTTTTGCAGCAGCTGCGTGCACCCCGTGCCAGGAGCCGGGGCTCTGGAAGGACTCATCTGGTTTCCTTGCTGGTGCTCTCACCGCTAGATTAACGCTCCATATGGGAGACACAGCTCCATGCATGCAGCGGCAGAGGTGTGCGGCAGCAAGCTCTGGATTAAGCCGAGTCATTAAATGGGAGGTGGCAAAGGCTTATTTACTAGGGTGGCAGAGAAAACATCTGTACATTCATGCTGGTCCGTTATGCAGCCAGGTATCTAACGATCTTGCGTTGGCTTTCAGGAGCCTAAGGAGTCCTATTTATGATAAAGACATCCCAGAGTACAGGGGCTTTGTGTTAGCAGAAGGTCTCTAATGACTATGCTGCATACAGCAGTCTTGCATTTATTTACTGTGTGCTCATCTGTGACTCACTCCGGTTTAGGAGGCAGGAAGAGAACAACATCCCCCCCACCCCTCCTTTGCCTATTTACTGGCGTGACTTGTTACGACAATGGGGACTCCTGTAAGCGCAGGTTTATGTCAGTAAATTGCAGAGCTACCTGATGGGAAGGACTTTTATTCAGGCCACATTACAGAGGTGACCTGAGCGTGTTTTGTGCAGTATTCTCACTTATGAGTGTCGATGGTGTCTAGGAAGAATACCCCTCACCCCCTGTTTTGGATAGATTTGGCCAGTCAGCAAGAAATAGAGAGCAGTGCAGTAAACCCAGCCCATCACCTCAGTCTGGGCAGGCAGGCAGCGGTGTCAGAGGCATCATGCCCTTTCTAATGCATCACCCAAAGTGCACAGGAAGCCAGGCAGACAAAGCCAGACCATCATCTTCCTTGTGGGGCTCTAAGGAATGCAAATTTAATGAGGCTCCCGAAGTAAAATTGCTGTGTGTGTTTGTGCCAGTGAGGGAGGTTTCCGCAGGGACGGTGGTGGTGAAGGGGGAAACAATTTGGTTGAAAGCTGCAAGTGTTCAGTAAACAGCAAAATGGCTTTTCCCAACTTGGCCGGTGGTGCGAGCAGAGCCCACGCTGATGTGAGGAGCAGCAGCGCTCAATCCATCACAGAGCAGAGGCCAGCAACCTCCGGGGAGTTCCCCTTCAGCACTGCAATGAGCACTCACACATAACAGGATTCTCCTCGGCAGCGTTCCCGATAGCCCTCCGGGCACAGACAGGCCTGGGTGAGCCCCCCTCGACCCCCTTGCTCCCCTCTTCACACAAGCACACTGTGCTCCAAGCCCTGCGGTGCTCACCCGGCCAGGCAGACACAAAGTGATGCTGACACACGCACCAGCCGTGTCCATCTCCTCTCCACAGGCACAAGTACATCAGCTTGACAGCTGTAGCTTCTAAGACTTGTACATGGTTTTCTGACAGCGTAAACACACACAACACCTTCCTTCATCATACACACACCTCGGAGCTATACTAGCCCTTAATCGCACTAGAAGTTTCTCTGCTGTGTTGCACCTAAAGCATATACAGTAAAAATACACCTTTTCCTGTCAATACAGAGACACTCTGCCACATTCACCTGCTAAATGTCACTCCATGAACATACAGGGGTCTGTACAGTGCTCAGAAAGCCCTGTAATAGAATAGCTCACCTGGATGGGAGGGTTGACAGTCCTGCTCTATGGATATTTCTGTGATTTCAGTCTCTTTTTGTTCTGCATTAGAAAGAAATAAAAGATTTCAAGTAATTTGGGGATGATGCACAGTGGAAATCTTCATACCTGGCTTAACATTTCCTTCCATGGCCCTCTGTGTTCAGAGAGCATGAGCCTCTGCCTGCCATCATTCCCCTCCCTCGGGCTTCACAGAAGTGTTCAACAAAGCAGGATGTGTTGCCAAAATGAATAAATAGTTCATGACTAGTTTTGATCAGCAACACTGAACATGTTTTCCTCAGACACAGGTCACAACTGCACACATAAGAAGCACTATCATGCACATAAATACAAACTGTATCAAACTGTACCCATGTTACTTGCATCTATCCATACACACAGGTTTCAGTGCTATATTGCAGACTCTACCAGCAATGCAAATGTGCCCACAAAGCATCAGCATTATCTGTGGCTGTTATTAACCCCACACGTGCACAAACAGCACACAGACAGAGGTGCTGCACGCTGCTGTTGTCCTTGTTAACCATGCAGGTACACAAACACATGTGTGACACCAAGAGCCATTAGCACTGTACTGCAGTCTTCGTTAGCAAGCAGCTTGTTTGCAGATGCCTGGCCACATGCGTACAGGCTCCCAGTCACAAGCAGGAAAAGGATTGCTACTGCACCGAGAGCCATTCCTGGCTAAATGATGCCTTTTGGAGTTGGGAAGCTGTAGGAAAACATCTTCCCCTTTATTCATGCTCTCTAACCTCACAGCCTCAGCATGACTGCCTTCAGCACCAAAATCAGGCACCAGCGGCCATTCCCCTTGCTTATATTTATGGTCCCTCTTTGAAATTCTGACTGCTTATCTATGCAGAATAAAACTACCCAAGCAATCTTTCCTGTTCAGGTGCTCATTACTAAAGCATTAAATAATGCCAGGCAGGTTCTCTTAGGCCTTGTAAATTTGATCTGGGGGACTTTCAGCTTCCACAAGGTCTATTACTGCCTGATTGCCTGAAAGGCTTTCACGTTTGTACCAGCCACACAGCAGCGAGGGCTGGGTAACAACTGAGCACTGGACTTCTATTAAACACCACTGCTGGCTTGGGAGACAGGCTGGGGAAGGTGAAATGCACATGAGTGCATGCAGAGCCTGCCACTGTGTCCTTGGAGTGCATACGAGGCTGCCACTGGTAGTGTAAATGACTGGTCTAGTGTGAAGTGTCCCTGTCCATGGCAGGGGGTTGGAACTAAATCTTAAGGTCCTTTCCAACCCAAACCATTCTCTGATTCTCTGATTCTCTGTGTGTGCTTGGCTGCTGGAGAAAAGCGTCTGGATTGAAGGATGAAACTGTGCATGAGTGAGTGCAAGGTTGTGGGTGCATGAATAAAGAGTGGGACTGATCTTAGTGACACAGATGTCACTACAGAGTAGGTGCTTAGGAGTTAATGGGGTTTATGGTGACACAGCTGAGCGCAAAATCTGGCCCAAGTTCACAGCTTTCCTATTTGAGCAGCTTTCTCCAAGTGCTTGCTGTTAACCAGGGCTCAAAGCAAGGCTGTTTGAATACACCAGTGAGCTTAATAAAGTGGAGAGAAAATAATGGAGAAACACAGGGAGAAAGGGAAAAGCCCCCAAAGCCAGTGAGGTTCTGTGTCATCCAATGTCACCTGAGTGTCCCAGGGGAATCTGGTACATCCAGCACCCCTCAGCTCCATGGGACAATCCCTAAAGGATGCTGAGCTGCAGATAAAGCATATTTTCAGAGGGAAAAAAAATGGGAGTGGGGAGAAAATGCTCTGTTTAGAAACTTCCGTCAGCCTTTTTGAAGTTGTGCTCTTTGTTTCCTACTGTCTTCCTGTCAGAGAACTCATACCCTTTCTCTTCATTTTTTCCTAATCCAAACATCCTCCTTGATGGAACATCAAGGAAAGGGATATTTCCTCTCTGCCCACAAAACTAACAAAACCACATCACCAGCTATTCCTATATGCTTTGTATTTATAAACCTCAGCCCTGACCTGATCAAGTGGAATAGCTTCTAGTTCCCACCGACTCAGACCTGAATTCAAGCTGCCAGCCTATTGTTTCTTCCTCAGGCAACACCAGTACTCAAAACTTAACCGTTAAACATTTCCCAGACCCATAAACACTCACTTCCCCAAAGAGCACAGAGGTGAAGGTGTGCAGCAGCCAGCCCCTCTTTTATCAGATAACATTGCTCATCTATTTCACGAGAGCCAGATGGCACCATCTGAACAGCAGAGAGCCTGGGAGCCTTCAGCCACACCAGCGAAAGGGAAGCATGACCCTACCCTGCAGAGCAGCTCTGGCTCAGGCTCGGGATGCATCCTCAGTCCCATGCAGTGGGCACAGGGCAGCATGGGAGGGGGAAGCTGTTTTGGATGCAAGCAGCAGTGTAAATTTGCAGGTGGAAACCCAACTCACCATTGCTGACAGGTAAGGTCTTACACTTCTGAGGAGGAGGAAGTTTCCCCAGTCTGGAAGCTCTCTGGTAAAGGGAGACCCATGTGCAGACTGCCTGAGAAAAAGAAACAGATGTGAAGAGAGACAGAGCATATTCTAAACCCCTGCTGTGTGGGGGTCCTTCTCCTTGCAATTAAGTGAAGCTTATGGTTCTGTGGAAGTTGTTTGTTCAAAAGGCCTTTGCTGCACTGTTTAACAGCTTCACCAGCATTCCCCAAAGGCTTTCAGACTGCATTAGTATCCCACAGCTCACATCCTAACCAAACAAGCCTCCTCACCCTGACGTCTCCATGCTGTATGTATGGAGTGTAGGAGTTTTAGGGCTGCCATTGCCTCCTGTGATTGCCTTTCCACGGGAGGCTTGAAGCCCAAGGATATCATGAATATTCATGACATAAACATTAGCAATAAGTCATGTGCAATGTGGACAAAAATATATCTTAGGCAAAAGAACTGGGAGAGAGCTGAGAGAGAATCTTCACTCCTGAGCTCTGGGAACTACTGAACAGCATTTTCCTGTGCTGTAACGGGTGGTTTTAAAATGCAAATCACTCTTGGGTTTGAGAGACATTGTGGAAAAAAACCCAGACAGACCCATGCAGCAAAGCTTTATTGTATTGTAATGAATGTGGGATTTGCAGAGCTGCTTTGTGCCACTGAATGCACAGTGGATGCAGGCCAGGGACTCGAGAAGCCCTGAGGCTTGTCCGCAGCTAGCTCTGCCTTGCTATGTGACTTTGCACAAGACATCCTTTCCTCTGTTTCAGAGCTCTCATCACAGGACACTCAGTGGAGGGGACAGAGATGAGGCTATTCTGTGCCTCCTGGTGGGGTTATACATTATGGGCCACTCTGAAGTGAAGGTCAGCAGAAGAAATGTGCCCGCTGTGTCCTTGCAGGGACCAATGAGCTGGGATAGTGCTGCTCTGTTCTTAATGGTCATCCTCTGGCAAAGCCTGCTCAACCTTTCCTATTCCTATTCCTATTCCTACTCCCTATTCCTATTCCTGTTCCCTAGTTCATCTATGGCTTTATGTCTCCCTTGCATTTTTCTATAGAGCTGGACCCCTCCTTGAGCCCCAGAATCTGCAGAAATCCCTCTGAAATTCAACTCTTTCACATCATGGGCCACTCTGAAGTGAAGGTCAGCAGAAGGAATGTGCCCACTGTGTCCCTGCAGGGACCAATGAGCTGGGATAGTGCTGCTCTGTTCTTAATGGTCATTCCTCTGGCAAAGCCTGCTCAACCTTTCCTATTCCTATTCCTATTCCTATTCCTATTCCTATTCCTATTCCTATTCCTATTCCTATTCCTATTCCTTCTTACTCCCTATTCCTATTCCTGTTCCCTAGTTCATCTATGGCTTTATGTCTCCCTTGAATTTTTCTATAGAGCTGGACCCCTCCTTGAGCCCCAGAATCTGCAGAAACCCCTCTGAAATTCAACTCTTTCACATCCACCTGCAGAGCATCTCATACCATTTTACCTGCCCTCTAGTTGAAGAGCTGTCCCTGAATGGACTCTACCACACAGATGATAGTAGCAGTTGAACATGGCAGGGGGGACATAATAAGTGAACTTTTGCTGTAGATAGATTTTCTTCACATTATTAAAGGTATAAACACAATAACAGTCTATAAAGAGGGGGATGGTCTGAGGCACATCACAGCCCAGAGGACCCCTCTGTTCCTGGCTCTCCAGGATCCACTCTGAGATCTCGAATAGGTCACTCCAGTTATCTCTACCTTGGCTTTCCTCTAGCCTTCTGCTCCCTTCTGTGCAGCCTGGTGCTGGGAGGGCTTTAGGGTGCCATATATTTGTCCACTATTGCCTCTTCTTACCAGCTGCCTCCACCACACTCTGAGCCCAGTGTTAGTGAACCTGGAAGGTTAAACTGGTGATTTCTGAACTTGGCTCTTCAGTGCTGTGCTCTGCCACCCGCAGCCTGCACATACCTCCTCCCAGCTCGCCTGCAATGCTTCCTCCCACTGAAGGAAGGCTGCTGAATCTGGCATTTAGAGGCTAAGTTCACTCCACAAGGTCACATCGAAGAGGCCAAAAATCACAGTCAGCTGGCACCAGCCTTCACTTATTACTCATCAGAGAGGATATTAACTGTTAAAGCAGAGGCAAAAAGTGCTATATTCCATTACCGGTCCCCTGAGCCACCCCAACACCACAGAGAGAGCTGTTAACTGAGCTCTTCAACTCCATTTTCCCTGACAGAAATGCCCCAGCAGCTGCCTGACCTTCATGTAGCAGAAGTCTCCAGTCCTCTTGTGTGTCACAGACAGCAATCATCCAGAGCCTTCTGTGTCCTGATGCATTTCAGAAATCATCTTTCTGATGAAGGCAAGATCCCAAAGGAGGAATACACCACAAGGAGAAGCAGTCGCAGTGGGGAAAAGTCAGGGCATTCCAATAATGAAAAGCCAAGATGTTCAAACCCTCATGCCAGAAGGCCAGTTTTCAAGTCTGTGTTTCATAGAGTTACAGAATCCCAGGCTGGTTTGGGTTGAAGGGACCTTAAAGCTCACCCAGTTCCAGCCCCCTGCCACAGGCAGGGACCCCTTCCACTGGAGCAGCTTGCTCCAAGCCCCTGTGTCCAACCTGGCCTTGAGCACTACCAGGGATGGGGCAGCCACAGCTTCTCTGGGCAACTCAAAGCATCAGACCCGAAGCTCCCACTGTGTGTAACAGAATTTGTGAGTGCTCAAAGCTTTTCAGACCTGGCCATTTGTTTTTAAGTACATAAATGGGAATAAAGATGTCAAAAAATGCTCTACTGTACCAGCAGAATGTCAGCTCTTCACTGGAAGCACAAATCTGTAAGAGGCACTGTCTGGAACCAATATATATTAGTTTAAGCTGAAATATTTGGGGTTGCAGATAGCTCTTTTTGGAGCAATAAAAATAAAATACTCTTAAGCAAAGCAACCTTTCTTACTCCTTCCCCATCAGTGGGGACATTCAGAAGGTTTTGCCTATTGGTGTTGGCAGTAAAAAGGAATCAAGTGGGAGAAATGCCTGCTCCAGGAAACCAGGACATAATAAGAATCAGGGAAAAAGGAGGACAAGAAATCATAGAATCACAGAATGGTTTGGGTTGGAAAGGGCCTTAGGATCATCCAGTTCCAACCCCCTGCCACAGGCAGGGATACTTCAACACTAGACCATGGTGCCCAAGCCTGGCCTTGAACACTGCTAGGGATGGAGCATTTACAGCTTCTTTGGGCAACTATCAAACTAACCCATTCACACACTGAAACAAATGTGCATAGCCACTACCCCTTCAGAAACACCAGGAATCTTCAGCTGCTGGAGAACCAGGAGGATTTGGAGAAATTATGGTTGGAAAATCACCAGAATGCAAAAAAATCCTGAAAACCAGAAAATTCCTAGGAAGGTTCTAGGTCAGAAATTCCTGGCAAGCAAAAGGATTTCTCCAAACCAAACCTCCCTCTCCTGATGTAAATCACTGAGAACAATATGTGGGAAATGTTCCAGTGGGCACGTAACAAATGCAGGGCACATTCCAGCCTGATGATTAATGGGAGAAAAGTTGTCATTCAAATTCCCCACATTTATATCAGGTATTTTTCCTGTTAATGTTACCACTGTGTGGAAAAAATTAACTGTGGGAAGGAAACAGGGACCAAATTCATAGCTGCCATAAATCAGTCCTGTTCTATTCTGATCTCAAAAGCTTGGCCAGTTCCTAGCAATGGAGCATATGACTCATTACCTGTCTATTCAAACATGCAATAGCAGAGAGGTCTATATGGTATCCACTTGGCAAATAAATCTTTTGTCCCCCCTCTAAATAGCACACAGTTATCTCAGCAACAGCTATATTTTGGGAAGCTAAGCATCTAAGTGTGCCTTTCATCTCTGGGTCTTTCCACCTAGCCAAGAAAAGCATCCTGCCTTAGATGATGAAACAGAATAGGAGCTTGTGCTGTTTTCATACCCCAAGCAATCGGAGTGCAGTTGAAATCCTCCACCTATTCTCAGTGAAGCTTTGTATTTTGCTTTGTGCAGATGTTTCCACCCAAACAGCAGCCTGCTTGAACTACTGATGTGGAGAAAGGCTGTTCTATCCTGTGGGTGAGGCAGCTAATGGCTGGTCTGGTTCTTTCTGAGAGCAAGGAAAGGGGACGCTGTGTGTGTCCGAGCACTGCAGTGCAGGCAGGCAGATGTGCATTGCCTTTTGCCAAAGAGGATGGCTTCAGGCTCTGACAGGCTCTGCCCCAACTCTGCTCTGTTGGGGTGGTTCCACATCATTCACCATATATACACCATACATACCACTGTCAGTGGGTTTGTGTCCATATGGAAGGCTGCGAACTGCAGCCATGGCCGTGTGGGGACAGATCCAGCTGTGCTGGCTCCGGGGTGGAAGTGATGACCTCAGTTTAGCTGAGAACTAGAACCATCCCTGCAAAAGAGCCCCTGCTCTCTAGGAATGCAGAATATCCCTTGGGAGACGGGGCTGATGAAGTACCTTTTGCAGCTGCTTCTGGTGGCATGCCCCTGTTTACCAACACAGTGTTATTAGGATAAAGTGAGAAGCTTAACCAGGGAAGCAGGCAGACAAGACACAACCATAGGAGCAAGCTAAACTGTACATAAACCCAGACTGGCAGACTGGTAAAATAGGTAAGAAACAGACCACATAAAAGACAGGAAGATGGAGAGAGGGATTTAGAGCTGAACTTAATACCTGTGTGATTTATTTGCATTAAGCTCGAACAGTGTGTATGGCTTAGGTGTTAACTTGTTTATTTTGCTTCCCAGACTGCCTCCGGTGCTGCTGTTTGGCTGAAGCTGCAATCCATGGGATGCTTTGGAAATTCCTTGTCCCTGGGGAACAATGAAGAGAGTTTCATCAAAGCCTGGAAAACTTCTGCAAGTTCTGAAACTCAAAAGAGACAGAATGAAGTAGTCTGGATCCTCTGCCTATAGTGAAAGCCCAGCTTTGTATCCTCAGAGCCAGAAGACCAGAAACTATCAGCAGCCTTCCTACTGTGCTTTGCATGAGGCCATTCTGCAAATTATGGCAATTGCTTCCATCCAGCCGTCCTGCAGCAGATGGCAAAGCAGTGAGAATGGCCAGAGCTGGTGGGTGGCAATGATGTGTTTACTTTAATAAGGCCCAGAGATTAAAGTTCCACCAGTGCCCATCAGCAGTCTGTTACATTCAGTCATTTATAATTATTTCCCATTTTTCCCTGCAGTTATATTTTAGAATTGCAGTTATTTGGATCTCTGTAACCATCCAATGTAGCTCACAAACCAGGGCACCCGGCATGCCCCTTGTAATCCAAGCTGAGGCATCACTCTGGGGGACACTTGAGCCCCATTCAGCCCTCAGAGATAGGACCATGGTCTTGCAGAACCTCTTCTGCTGTCAAAAAGAGCAGAAAGGACAGTGAACAAGCAGGGGAACATGTGGAATGGGAAGGAGAATAGATAAAAACGAGTAAAGGAGGCAGGTGAAGGGGTTAAAAACGGTACAAAAGAAGAGGAAAACAATGGCGTAGGGCTGGTACCTATAATCGTTGCTATAAGGTTTGTGCAAGGCGGATAGAAAAATTGCAGAGGAGGAACTTTCTTCTGTCTGGCATGAAACTCCAGGAAAGAAATGAATGGAAAAGGTGAAACTTAAAACAGGAGACAGAAAGTCACTGAAGTGGTGCAGTCAAAACCCCAGCAAGCCCAAGAACATGAATGCTGGAGGAAGGAGAAGATAGAGGTAGCTTGTGGAG